TCTTTAAATAACTGAGAAGAAAGTGCTGCCTTTATAATGACATCTTCAAACGGTTACACTTTCTAGTCTTCTCGGATAAGGACAAAAAACCGTAGGTCCCTCTCACAGTACTGTCACTTATCTGGTTCTTGCAGGACGTAAAGGAACCCACACCACTGTTCGAAAAGAGTAGGGGACGTTATAGACCCTAGTGGTGTGGCCAACCTTTCCTGGGCCGGGTGGGTTAACTGTAACGAGAGATGTTAATATAGCGATAACCTCACGATCCTCCTTCAGATGTCGTAATGGCTACCTGTAAACAGTGTATGAATGTATGTAACGAATAAAAAGGAGTGATCTGGTGTAGACATTGTTAAAATCTTTATAAAGGCTTGATAAGAGCAATTTCATGTTTGGTTGCTGCGTCCCAGATAGACGAGAGCGGTTCAAATAAACCGAATATTGTCTGTCACGTTTTTAATGACGAGTTTTCGGTTGCTCGATACAGACGTTCAAACTATTCATTAAAGGGACACAGTCAGCTATGGGAACGCGCTGACCTGGACACTACTTTTGCCAGTTTGAAAAGCGTTTACCTCAACCCGAAATCAAATGTACGCGTCGGATACATCTAGAAATCCGTTTCAATCTTGCCTAGTGTTTCATTCGATCCTCAATCTTTTACAGAAAACCTCCTTTTGAGCAAATGTTAACTCATCCTATAACGTTATTTTATCATATTTGGTTAAAAACAGTATCCAAAGGAACATGAACAGAACAGGTGAGAAACGCGCAAGCGCTGGGCGGGAGAAATCGCTTTCGTTTGCCAAAAATAATAACAAAAGAAATGAATCAATAACATTGGCGAGCAAATAATCGTTACATATATTTGGCAAATCGATGGAAAAGGTTACATATATTTGGAAAATCAGGCTTCCTTCGACAATGATTTATATAGACTACGTGTCATTTCTCACGTCCACTAATGATCGAATTCAGAAGTATTCGTCGATGTCAATGGCTTTCCCTGGACAAATCCATCGGTGAATTCTGTATTTTAATAGTATATATAAAAAAATGAGTGGTCTCCTATGGCTTAGGGTCTATAATCACGATTTCGGCTTGTAACTAGTTCAACTTCACAAGGTTTGTTTAGATATTCCGGATGCGCTTCTAAATATCTGTTTCACGCGCGTATCTTGTGACATGCAAAACAGCCAAGCCGGCTAAGAAAAGGTATGAAATGCGCATGTGCATCAGCTGATCTCGTTTGGAGAAAAATTTAAAACAAAAACAAATGAGACGGAAAGTAACCTTCATTAATGCGTTTCACTAGGGACACGTTTCCTGCGGGATTTTGATTTTTAGGATGCTTTAAGATTAGGCGAGTTTTTTTGCACCTTTTCGGGGAATAACTTTTGCGATTTATCACGTTTTATCAAGTCTGTTTTTTCTTTTCAATAGTCAGTATCAAGAGACTATGAAGGGGACAGAGAGGGCATCCCCCATATACACCCTATTCCATAGGTAATTCGTCTCGAGTTATTTTTAGAATCGGGATAAAGTTACCTCGTGCGAGGCGTGGATGTTTCGTGGAGGTTTCCCATGACCAAACGCCGTGCAAAACATGTCGGGCGAGAGGCCATGAAGGCGTAAAAAGATCGAGAGCATTCCTGAATATTGAAGCGAAATGATTCGACGCTCACCTGGGAAAAAGGAATCGCTGGACTCTTTGACAACCCGTGAAATCAGTTTAACTCGAAGTTGTCGTAACCTCAGTGCTTTAATAAAATGAGAAATTTCGCCGGTCTATTGAAACCGGTCGTTTGTACAATTTAGGGAGTTTAAGCACAGGCGGCCCAGACGTAGTATGTGTCACTGAATGAATATATTAATATTCACATGGACAAATCAATGCGATTAGTCGTCGAAACTCCAATGGACTGAAATAGTCCAAAAGTCAAAATACAACAAAACAAAGCTAAGATACCTTTAACTGAACGTATCCTTGTCTTTCCTGGCCGGTTTAAGTGGCATTTTGTTGAGTTTTGCAATTGTAGGTACTATCCACTAACGAAGAATTAAAGGCTGGCTACAAAACAAACAGACCATCTCCACGCGCCTTCACACGAAGCGCTATAAATTCGAGAATAATCGACGAATCCGCTCCAAATAACCATCGGCTAATCTGCAGGTAACGTGTGCTCCTGCTTCTGGCTCGCTTGTTCCACAAAACCCATCGCAACTGCACAACAATTGCTCGCTCATCAACAACCACTGTTGACCTTTACGCTTCGATATGACCGCAAACGACCAGGTTTAATACGCGACGTGAATATTCAAGCTTAGCGACCGCGTTCGCGCAACAATGCAGCACTTGCTATGGGAGGGATGGTACTATTGCTTGTAGGTCAATCGACACTGACCGAAGGTTCGCTGCGTTACTTTTGACCAGAAAACAAAGGGCGATCGCGGGACCGTCCGTAAGTTTTCAACAGGGCAGCCCTGGTTTTCAAGTTCGAATTCTTCCAACGTTCGCTGTCTCAGCTCCTGTCACATTGTTCGTCCAGCCGCTTGCATAGGTTCTTGACTCTACCAGACTTATTTGCTTAGATTAACAACGTCTTACTCCATAATATGTTGTCCAAACTGATGAAGGAGGACGAGAATTTTCCGCCCAGGAAAAAGGAAAAATCTGGCTCCCGCTATGCAGCTGAATAGAAGATACAGCTGAAGATATCGTAAAGTAAAATTTATGTGCGCGATATCTTTTATTATTATTATTATTATTATTATTATTATTATTATTATTATTATTATTATTATTATTATTATTATTATTATTATTATTATTATTATTATTATTACAGTCGACTCCCGATAACTCGAACCTTCAAGGGAAATCGAAAAAAGGTTCGAGTTAACGGGAGTTCGAGTTATCGGTAGTTCGAAGAAAATAGCCGAGAGTAAGGTAAAAAACAGTTTTTACTGTACAGTGAACATTTTAATCACATTTAATTGTAGAAATGTCAAGTGAAAATTAAAAGATACTTCTAAATTATAAATCAGAACGTAACCTAACAAAACGTAGCCTAAATAGAGCATGCGTTTTACTGTTTGGAAAAGATAAGCTGCTTCACTTTAGCCTGTGATACGGTGGCCCAAAAGGCTCAAACACAAATCAATTTCCCAAAACACGTAACAGTTTCTCAAAACACAAATCAATTTCCCAAAACACGTAACAGTTTCCCAAAACACAAATCAATTTCCCAAAACACGTAACAGTTTCTCAAAACACAAATCAATTTCCCAAAACACAAATCAATTTCCCAAAACACGTAACAGTTTCCCAAAACACAAATCAATTTCCCAAAACACGTAACAGTTTCCCAAAACACAAATCAATTTCCCAAAACACAAATCAATTTCCCAAAACACAAGTCAGTTTCCCAAAACACAAATCAATTTCCCAAAACACAAGTCAGTTTCCCAAAACACAAATCAATTTCCCAAAACACAAGTCAGTTTCCCAAAGCACATAACAGTTTCCCAAAACACAAATTAATTTCCCAAAACACAAATATGTTTTCCAAAACACAAATCAATTTCCCAAAACACAAATCAATTTCAAAAGACTGGGCACTACATTATGATGAGCGAGATGGCCTGGAAAGAAGAGTGACGAACTCGGGTCCAGGGTCTTTCACGTCCAATATGGCGACTACATGTCACTCCTTTGTGTCCTCTTAGTCTTATTAAGATGTTTTGCGGTCATTGCGGCAGTGTTGTGAAGGATACTTTTAAATTTTGCGTAAAGTGTGGAAATTCTACGTCCAATAACACCGAAACTCATTCTTCCACGTTCGATTCGACCAGCAGCAGGAAAAGGAGAGCTGAGTGTGCTACATCTGGAATTGCCACATCTGATTTAACCTTAATTTCTTCTAAGCCTGTTCCTACTTTGGACATCTCTATGAACAATAAAAAAAAAAAGAGAGAAAGTCGCACTTCAAAAAAAAGAGCAAGAAGACTAAGAGGATGACTGAGAAAGAAGACCCACCTGTAACTGTCAACATTGGCATCATGCGATATATTGAAGAGGAAAATATGCTCAAGCCCCAACGAGGCAAATCTCTTCCTTTAAGAATTGGTAGAACAGCGGATGGGGAGGAGCTATTAAAGTAAGCAGTAGCAAAGCACTCGAAGCATAATACTAATGAAATTACTCATAGCTCTCCTTTGGCGTACAAATTACTGTACCCAGACGGGATAGAAGTAAATAAACTTAGAGAATCCGACCAAGCATTCAGCTTACAAGAATACAAAGCTGAACTGGGTAAACCGTACAACAGGATAACATTTTATCTTTGTTCTTCATCAGATTACTATGATCATAGTTTCAAAGGTTTTGCTGACACAATTTCTGATGATGGAGAATGAATGACAGTGACAAGGATTCTGAAGACCTAAGTGAACCAACACGAACAAAAATAACCAAGTACACTGACACTGGCTTTGCTAAGACAACCACCACTGTTAAAGCATCAGATGCAAACTCTGTTTCTGTTAAACCTGGTTCTTATATTGTAACTAGCCTTTCTGATTCTTTCACAACGAGTGATATACCCACCTCTCTTCTTGGTAGTTCATCTTCTGGTTCATGTACTACTACAGCACGTAACAGTTCTGGATTTGAAACACTCAAAGAAGTTTTTCCACAGCTCCCTGAAAAGAAGATATTTGATGTTTTCAGCAGTAGCCAAGACATTGAAACAGCTATTGCCACACTCTGCGAGAATGCAAATGGAGGATTGAATGACTCGCTTCGATCATATGCTTCTGTCATTGACGTAGATTTTAGTAATGACCTCTATGATTCTGAAAATGACATTATCTTTGGTGGGGAGGAGTCTGAATTTTCTGAAACTGATGAAAGTGGAGAGCATGAAATTGAGGACCAGCAGAGTTTATGTGAGAAATTGAAAGAGCTATTCCAGAAATATAGCAACTCAGGGAAAAAGATAAGGCTAAAAGTAAGAAGAAGTTGCCTGTGGGAGGATACTCTGGCAAAAATCAAAAGGATAAACCATGATTGCTTGAATGGTATTGTAACAGTCCAATTTATTGGAGAACCTGCAGTAGACGAGGGAGGACCTCGCAAAGAGTTTTTTTTCCTGGTTCACAAACACATGCAACAGTCATCAAGTCTGTTCACAGGACCTTCTAGTAACCGTAGGTTTGTTCACAATGTAATGGCTCTTCAGAGGGAGGAATATCTTCATTATGGCATTATTTCAGCTCTTTCAGTGCTTCAAGGTTCACCCGGTCCTGTAATGTTTGCTGCCCCTATTGTAGACTACATCGTGTATGGCAAACTAGATTCAGTCTCAGTGCCAGTCAGTGACTTGCCCAGTGGAAAAGTGAAGACAACATTAGAGGAGCTTGAAGCAATCGGTGATCGTGAGAGATTTAAGCAAGAAGCATCCTTTAACACACGACTAAGATCCAAAGCAGGATACGCAAAGCCCATTGTAACTTTGGAAGACAAAGATGAATTTACCAGGTGCATCTGCTTACACCATCTCATTTTATGTACACAGACTAAAATTGACCAGTTTGTCAAAGGGTTGGCAACAAATAGAGTCTTGGATGTGATCAGAAACAGTCCTAACCAATCCCGCAAGCTCTTACAATATTATGAACATGAGAAGCTGACTGCTGAGATTGTTGATAATCAGTTTCAGCGTGTCTTTAGCGTGGACGGAAGTAACAAACGTGCTAAGGAGGAAGCTATAGCCTTTAACTTTACACATTACCTTGATTATGTTGAAGGTTTGATTACCACCACAGTCCTAGATCCTGAGACAGATGAAATTCACACCAGTAAAGCTGAACTTGCACATGTTCTTCAGTTTGTTACTGGATGCCCTGCCTTACCTGCCACTGGATTTGACACAAATCTAACTATTGTTTTTGACCATGAAGAGATCCAGAGGAAACTTTCAGCAAACACCTGTTCCTGTACCCTTAACATTCCAGTTTGTGATTTGCTTGCCAGTTATGAGTCTTTTAAGAGTGAGTTCACAGAATGCATCTTCAGTTCACCTGGTTTTGGTAAAGTGTGAATCAAGTAGCAGTTGACTTTTGCTATTTGTAGGTCTGGATGAACACGATTTTATAATGTTAAATTTTAACAAACATCATTAATAAGCTTCATGACTTTACCAGCATGCATACATGTACCCAAGCATAGTATTTCTGTCTGTTTTGCAAAAGTCCATGCTGCCTATTTTGCAGAAGAGTTAAGTTTCACTTTCAATGGAACTATGAATGGGAAAGGTTTTTGGAGCAAATCATTTTTATAGATGTAAGAGATGGTCAAAGGTGTCATTAAGACGCCAGTGTTTGTTAGATAACCCCTTGGCTTCTGAGTTGTGTTCCTGTTTGCAAATGCTGTTCTACTTGTTATGCTTTGTTAGGTTAGTATTCTTGTGCATTTGAGACTGGGACTGAAGAGCACAGTTAACAATGTCTCATAAAAATGACTTTGGAATTGTACAGTGTATATCCATTTGGCAAGAGTTATTTGGGCATGTGTGAATCAAACTGAATTTTATTTGGTGTCTTAGCAGACAATATGCACAAATGATATTCTACAAACTGGTCATAGAAATCTTTAAACAGTACAAATGTATGTAAAATTTGCCTAGTATCTGCTAAAATGGCAAATGAAACTCACTGTATCTATCCTACTGCACCATAGTTGTTTGGTCTCTTGTCTATGGTGTTGTGAAGTGACACAGTAAATAAATACAATGTATGTCTGAGTCAGACTTCTTGTGTAGGTGAAGTTATACATATACTGGTTCTTACTGTTGTGTCAGTGTCTTTGAAAAAGTCAATTTTAAGATGGCATTGTGAACCAGCAAAAAGCTCATGCCAGGAGAGAACAGTTGTGGTTTAGTTCATTTGGAGCACCAGTACAGATCAGACATGCACTATTTTCACTTGTCAACTGACTATATTGTTAAATAATGTTCTGGTTATTTGATCTGTTATAGATAACAATGTTCCAATATTATTTTGTATTGGATGGTTTTTGCATTCCATAGTTGTGACAACATTTTTATCAGGTTAATCAAGAAACATTTTATTGTGATAATTGGAGAACCATATTTTCCTTTTGCATTCATGATGAGTGGAACAATGTACATGTATTTTGTTTAGGACTCTGACCATTACAGAGTCATTTGTTATCTTTGCTGTAGTTGCTCCAATTGTTGGTTATTACTTGACAATTCTCTTTGAAAAATGTTTTGAATGCATGTTGTTGTTATTGATGGCAATTATAATACCAGATGTCATTACCAATAAAGTGTTGACATTACTTGTTTATCAGGGCTGAAGTGTATTGAATAATGTAGAACTCCAGGAGTTAATTTGGTTGTTTTTTATTTCCTCCTTGAAAATTTTAAGAATCATTCTCTTCATTTGGCATTTTCAAGTAAAAGTGGTTTTATTAAAGAGAAAACTCTATTCATCAAAATGCTGTAAGCAATCTGCAACATACAGAATTCATGGAGACGAATGAATTACAAATTTACAACAACAGTTTATAGTGACACTGAGAACTTAATAAGCTACTTGTCCTTCACTTTTTCATTAACTGTTATAAGATCACTGGTCTCTGTCAACTGTGGACCAGAATCGAATAGCTCCTACACTGCAACTCTTATTAAATAAGAAAACAGGCTCAAAGCTTCCTTCCAGTTAGAGGGCTTCGAAACATTAAGAAGGGACAAAACATGATTAAAGTACTCCTGAAAATCGTTGTTAAAATCTGTTGCTTTACATTTCAGCCTTGCTTCATCTAGCTTTTCAGGGGACACTGGGTGTAAGTGGTTTGAAGCTCCAAAGTTTTCTGGAAGATAATAGAGTTGCTCTGGTTTCCCAGGAACTGTTTGATGCCTTGAACGCCGAATGTGGTGTGTATTCCAGTGAAACTTCACAAAGTCTAGATCATGCTGGATTAATTCTGCAAAGCAAAACCATATGCACTCCCCATGGAGCACATCACCAGTCAGAAATATCCCACGATCCACAAGGTATTTAAAAAAGTTGATCCACCATGTTAGACAACTACGGCGAAGATGGGCCCACCAGGCCTCTATTCTTTGATTTCCAGTAGAAGGACCATAACGGTGTGATTTTTCACCAGCTAACTCATCATCACAGTCAGCTCTTAAAAAACACTGTGTACCTGCAATTACTACATTCTCTGTTCCGCAGTCTGTTCGGAGTAATGAAGGACATCCACCGACCTCCACAACGCAATCTAAAAAAAACTTTGCAGTTATTTCTGGATCATTATTGGTTCTATCTACCTTAAGCCACATTACCATGCGACTATAGCCATCAACAGCCCCATGGATGGGAAATCCGAAAGGTTTCAGTTTATCATAACCATCAACATGCCAACAATAATTTGGTCCAGGAGACTCATACTTCCTTCTCTTTAGCCTGTGGCACTTCCTCTCTTCCACTCCAGCTGGGTCTATCGTTCTGATCAGGGATTCTACCTCTTGCCTAGGGACAAACAGCCCATACTTTGTACGAAGCATATGCCAAACTCCTCTGTAACCACAAATGCCTCCTGGGCCATCCATCTCGTCTCGGATTAATTTCTCAACCGCAGGCAAATTTATATCCACTTTATTCCTTTTAAGGTTGTATTCACATAATCTTCTTTTCAATGTTGACATAGACATTGGCATGTCATGGTACTTGTCAAGAAAGAGTAGAATAACCCTGTAACTGAACCCACTATAAAAGTAAGCCTCTATTGCTTCTTTCTCGGTCACGTTTTCAGCTGATAATAATAGCGTAACAGAAGGTATAGCAGTTTCTAGCTTGGTTCCACACTGAAAGCAGTACAAATATTCATCTAAAACTTGTTGGCCGCAGCTTTGGCAGAACTTTTTTTCACGTTAACACCTGGTTAAAACAATGAAAATACAGCCCGTTCAGATAGTCGCCATATTGGACGCGAAAGACCCTGGACCCGACTTCGTCACTCTTCTTTCCAGGCCATCTCGTTCATAATAATGTAGTGCCCAGTCTTTTGAAATTGATTTGTGTTTTGGGAAATTGATTTGTGTTTTGGAAAACATATTTGTGTTTTGGGAAATTAATTTGTGTTTTGGGAAACTGTTATGTGTTTTGGGAAATTAATTTGTGTTTTGGGAAACTGACTTGTGTTTTGGGAAATTGATTTGTGTTTGAGCCTTTTGGGCCACCGTACTGTGACAATCTACATCAGCCTCCACTAGTACTGGCTATACTCCTACAACACGTCAATAGGAAATCCAAAATTCAATGTTTCGGACGCCAGTAGACGGCTTTTTTTCCCGACTTTTTAAGGGCTCAACACATGGTTCGAGTTATCGAGGGTAAAATTATATAGAAAATGACCTGAGGGGAAACGACAATTGGTTCGAGTTAGCGGGAGTTCGAGTTATCGAGGGTTCCAGTTACCGAGGGTAAAATTACAGTGAATGTGTGACGGAAATCCAGGGGAAATCGATTTTGGTTCGAGTTAGCGCGAGGTTCGAGTTAGCGAGGGTTCGAGTCATCGGGAGTCGACTGTATTCTCAAAACTCAGGGGCACCCAACGATGATTTCCCCCTAAATGCATTGAAAACACATTTAAGGCTGTCCAGAGTACTTTTGATCGAAAAATGCATTCTAAACAGCGCTTACATAAATTTAGTCAGGAGGGCTAAAAGCGAAGCTAATGATTTATAGTTTGCTCATACTAAATATAAAATATATCGTGTAATGCTAAGCGGAGAAGGCAAAGAGACAGGGCCACCCAACGACTGTTTCCTCAAATACTTTCAATTGAAAACACTTTTGAGGCTATTCATAAAGTACTTTTAGCTCTATAGAAATGCATTCTAAGTGGCGCTATAAAATTTGTATCTCAGTGTTCGGCCATTCTAGAGGAACTTGAGTCTTTTCGAAATTACGAGGAATTCAGAATTATTTTCCCGAAAATTTTAGATGCAATTTAACGTATTACGAAGGAGATCATTTTTCAGATACCTTCTTTCATCACATTTTTGAATCCGAAAATTTTAGGATTCCATTTTATTCTCTACGAAAAATAGCCTAACCCGGTGAGTGAAATGTGAAAAATTAAAGTTGGATGCCCTTGACCAGAACTGTGAAAAACAACAATAGGTCTAATTGCAGCACACTTTCTTGTACATTTCCTTGCCGTTGATTTGCATGACTGCAACGTGAAACGTCCAGAAAACTTCCTGGTTTTCACTTTTTATGGAGAAAATGTGGTACATGTTCTTGTTCACTTTTTCCACTGCCGCTCATTTTTTTTAGCTCCGCTATAAGATTCGTATCTGTTCGGTGCTCCTAGGGCAAATTGGATCTTTTTAAAAATTACAAGGGCTTCAATATTATTTTCCCGATTGATTGACCTAGAAGCAATAGTACCATCCCTCCCATAGCAAGTGCATGCATTGTTGCGCGAACGCGGTCGCTAAGCTTGAATATTCACGTCGCGTATTATACCTGGTCGTTTGCGGTCATATCGAAGCGTAAAGGTCAACAGTGGTTGTTGATGAGCGAGCAATTATTGTGAATTTGCGATGGGTTTTGTGGAGCAAGCGAGCCAGAAGCAGGAGAACACGTTACCTGCAGATTAGCCGATGGTTATTTGGAGCGGATTCGTCGATTATTCTCGAATTCATAGCGCTTCGTGTGAAGGCGCGTGGAGATGGTCTGTTTGTTTTGTAGCCAGCCTTTAATTATTCTTCTTTAGTGGATAGTACCTACAATTGCAAAACTCAACAAAATGCCACTTAAACCGGCCAGGAAAGACAAGGATACGTTCAGTTGAAGGTATCTTAGCTTTGCTTTCTTATATTTTGACTTTTAGACTATTTTAGTCCATGGGAGTTTCGACGACTCATCGCATTAATTTGTCCATGTGAATATTAATATATTCGTTCAGTGACAC